AATGATCTTTTCCTCTTAGACTAAAGTTCAAATAGCATTTTTCACTATAGCTCTTGATTCGGCCAATAAAAGCAATCTTCAAGAAAGCGCAGTTGATGAACATATTATCTGCCCTTTCGTCCCTAATCTTGCTACTGTCAAAGTTATATTCTTCAGCTCCACTTTTTCATTTTCTCAGTTCCCTTCAAATGTCTGCCAACCATACCACAGGTAACTTATGCTTCTGAAAATAATCTCTGCACAGTTAATTTTGATTTGCTAGTCACTATTTGTATTAAAACTTCATGGCTTGCAGTAGAGAACCGTTTGTTGGTTTGCTTATTTCAAAGCTCATAATTGAATTTTCAGAACCAGGAATACCAATGTCACACTATCCTGTAAAGAATTTTCCTAGCTGACATTACAAGCCTATCCCAGTAACCATCAAACGCAATCAGCTGTTTTATACTTGTCTAATGTAACTTAGTCAGTGCAGCAGTTGCTGTAAGTAAAGAGTCTCAAAGAGAAGGCAAGTGTGTAATAAACTGACGACAAAGTAGGTAGCAGTAAAAGCATAAATCCTATTTTGCTAGAAATACTACTGACACCGAACCAGATTCAACCCAAAAACCTATTGTTCTGAAGAGATACTTCCAGAAATGTCGATCCAAATGTTTCAATTTCAAACTAAAGCACTGAGTCATCAAAAACTACGCCTCATCCAAACTGAGGATATGTTGCAATGTGGACCTGCCAAGTACATGAGTTAAATAAACGTTAACGGTTCACTGATTCTAAAAATTGTTGTTCATAATGAGTGGTTTACATTATTTCTCAGAAACAAGAAGAAATATGTCACCTTTATCACAATAAACTATGATGAGAAAGCTACTGCAGTCTGTAGCGCTTACTCCAAAACGTGTATTTCTTTTATTTTCATTTAGTTTTTGCACAAAACGTTATTCTCCCGTTCTACTCCCTCAGCACAATTTTTAGAACAATCCAAACACTCCTTCTTGCTTTCTGATAGTCTAGTTTTGAAAGATTTTTGCTTCAATGTAGTTTTTTAATGCTCATTTTTAACGGGAGAACTTTGATATAATAGATGTGCTGTTGTACTGTAAATACAGCTTTATAACGCAAAAGACTCAGACCTGTGAACAACTTCCCTACCTTTAATTTAACTGTTTCTTTACTTCTCTACAAACATACTAGAAAATCTAAACAGTCCTTAAACTGCGCACAATAAATTTAATAATTGACATTTTCTGAAACAGATGCACATAAAGAAATCCTTTCAAATCTATGTTTTGCGCTTCTGCAGAAGAAAACTTCTTCGTTTTTAGCAGAATTGCAGTTTGCTGAAAATTCTGATTCCAAATCTGCAACTTCAAGATGCAAAAAATTTCCTGATCCCAATTATTTAAAATGACGTTAGTGCCCCACTATTCAAGAATTGGAAATTTTGCCTACAAGCCTACACCTTACCACTATCAGTCTTTACAGAATTCTTATAAACAATTTTGCATAATTTTAGATCTGAATTTTTCATGGCATTGAAATCCGTAAAATTCAATAGTCGAATTACTTAGCGATACGATCAGGTTTCAGAAATCTGCGAGTTCGACGTTTCCAAAAATGACAAAAATATTTGTAAAGAAAAAAAGCTAAAAAACTCCCTAAAAATAGGATAACAAATGAATGCAGATTATGACCAAATTGATTTCAAACTGTTATATCGCCGAATTAAAAGCTTATACCTAATGCCTTCAAAAAACCTACATTTTTTTCGCAGTTTCTTAAAATTAAAACCTCTCGACAAACACTGTACTAGATAAAAATTTTTTCCATCAAACATTACACCGAAATGAACTGTTTATTGGTTTTTAATGCATTATCTTCCCCGCAAGTCAGAGAATAAACTTCCTCTTGCTCAGAGGCAAATATCCTTCTGCGACATGAAAAATAACTATGCGAAATAATGTTTGAACTGCTTGAAACCACTTTGTATTATCCTATGACCCGATATCCGTTCAAAAATGTAAAACAGACCAAGGAGCTATATTTAATATACACCTCAAAAGGAAAACTTCGTATTTAATAAGCAAAAACTTTAAAAAGCCAGTAAAGGAGACATTTTTACAAAATATTGGGATTTTTCCAACAGTTATATTTTCTTCACATGTTCTTAATGCTCAACAGTACTTTAACCGCCCATTTTAAAAGGATTTCTTTATTTGCAGTTTTCGATCAGGCATTACTAACAGAGTGAGCAAATTTCTTTCCAGGAATTAAAAAGACGTGACCCTCAATGAACAAGAAAATCAATGCTCCGTAAACGCCTTTAAAGTACAAAAAGCCACAGCTTTCACCCAGAAGGTTCTCAAACTTGGAAATATGAAATATTCCGATTTATGCTAGCCTAATATGCCCTCCCCACTCACTTAAAAAAATGAACTAGGAAAGGAATTTGATTTGCTCGTGAAGTTGCCGAGTTTGAAAGAATAAAGACCTTATAGAGTATGAACGTTTATAAAAGGTTGATCATCTGCATATCACCCAGTCGCTTCTAATAATACTTATGTAAAACAAGATACTGGAGAGACCAATAGAAATCTAAATTTACTCAACCACGCTCATGATGAACTGACTCAAAAAACTGCAGTGGTACAGTTGCGACCATATTGCTACCAGCTCTTTATAATCATACCCTCCCGAGACTCAGTTGAAAATGAAATTGATATAACTGATTCAACCACTTATTTTTTGGAAAACTCCACTCCTGCATCATTAAAAGGAGTCAGTATAACTAAATACTGCACAGATCATTTTAACCAGTTTTCAAATGACAAATTCCATTAGCTTTAAGCTGCCAAAATATTTAGCAAGAACGTTACAAGCAATTGGGAAACAGCGTTTGAGAGGCTACCACGATTAAGTAACTAACGATACCACAGAGAGGCTTACCAAAATAAACTCAAAGAAAAAAGTGACAGCATAAAATCATTTTTTTCAATAAAGATTAAAAATCTCTTCTAAATTTAGTGAAGAATTTGTGAAATGTTACCGACTTTGTTAAACACCATTTTCAAACCTTTTTTCATATTTTACTACTACAGTACTTCTGCTTATCATGAATTCTTTTTTTTTGATAGCCAAATAAAGCGTTAATGAGGCAATTAAAAACAGAAGAAGCAGAAAAAGCAAATGTCTCACTAAAATACATGCCTTTCAACAATGCCTTAAGCCTTCTCAAAAAATTTTAACCTGCTATGCACACAAACCGAAACCAAAACAAAAAAACAGAAAACTAGATAATGTAAAATTTTTACACAAAACTCTTGAATAACCCAATATTATTCCCGTTCAAGTTCCATCATAAGCTACAGTATTTGAGCGTATTTGAAAGAAAAAATTAACTGGACTCCAATGCACACTACCTTTCTTTCTTTCCACAACACATTCTTTTCATAAAATAAGATGGCTTAATACTTTTTGATCGCAAAAATTTGTTCCTTTTACTTGAAAAAAAAAAGAAAGATTACCGGTATTTGTATTGACAAAATCTAACTTAACTGAGTATTGCCACTTGAGTATGCTTATCTCTAAAATTTTTATATTAACTTGAAAAACAGCAGCTCTAATCGAGACGCACATTGCATATAAATTTATAAAAGAAAAAGAATTAAGACTGATCTCAAATATCAGCTCAAAATCATGCAAAAACTCAAAATCCCTTATCCAATTCCTGCTTTCCATAAAAAATTTCAGTTTTACCTCTGAATTCCAAGCTTCCTATCCTTTGTAAACCTCTGAAATTAACAAACACATAATTATTAATATCTTCAAATGACAGTTCATTCTTAAACCTCAGTGTCGTTTCTCTCCCCCTTAACTTGAAAAATGTAGATCGGAATTGAAAAACTAGATTTGGAAGCTTAAAAAAGCAAGGCGAGAACATATATACACTGCTATGCATACCACGACTTTGCCAAAATGTACAAATGAAAAAAAAATTCCCCACTGCTAGTCCTTTGTAAAACTTTTCCGACATTGTACTACGTAAATACCCGGTGCAAAAAGAAAAAAAAAATTAAACTTCAAGAAAAATACGTTCTGGAAGCACGCTATAAACTGCAGTGCAGCTCACTGCAGACAACAGAAATAATCTAGAAACAATTAAAACTAATTCTTAAATAAAAAGTCCACAACACATGCCTCTGCATAACCTGCCGCAGCGGTAATCTACCACGTCGCTCTCCATCAGCATCACGTCCATATTCCAGAAATAGTTCAATCAAATGCTCGATTGCGTAAAGCGGGCCTTGAAAATCATCCCTTGCTTGCTCGTCCCCTTCCTCCTGATTACTTCCCATTCTGCATGCACAGTCACTGTAGATATATTCATAAACATGAAAATTAATCCTATTAGGCACTGCAACCTCCAAATACGACATTTAACCAGTAAGAGCTCCCTTAAGCTATGTATCGTACATAAATTAAGATATTCGCAAGTTCATGCAGTTCAGTAACAAAAATCATAAATGACCAATCACTGTATGAATGCAACAACAAAAGAAAGTTGTATTTATATGAATCAACAAAGAAAAATAGGTCCATTCTTTACCATAAACTTGACACTTTTCTAAAAAGAAAAGTCGTATAGAGAAACAACAAAAAACATGTAAGATCACACATTTCAAACAAGACAATTATGTTTCCCTAAGTTACCTGCACACAGCACGAGTTAAGAAGAAAAAAAAAACAAAGACCCAACTCTAATACAATTACCAAGAAACTGTTTGAGGTTAACTGTGGCAACTCCCTTCTTCCAAGCCAGGACAAAAAAAAACCTATGCAAAATTTATGAATGACATATCCATGTTACGTGACACTAGCACGTGACAGAAAACTCAAAGAAAATTGTGCCGCTGAAAAGTGCGAGCCTGTCCCACCTCCCTCTCTAAATAAGCCTACGCGATCGAGGTTTGAAAAAGAAACCTAATACCTTATTTTTTCTCTGGAGGAAAAACCCCATGCACAACGTGCTTTCAAAGAGCACTTTGATTGTCTACCCGTCGTCAGGGGGGTGGTCGACAAATAACTTCCAAAGAAACTGTATAAAAAAACTGACATACTGGCACAATAGCAAAATTTTTCAGTTTTATTGATAAGAGGCCTTAAGGTTTTTTGGATTAATGCACAACAATTGAACATGCAGTTAAGTCTTAAAAATTCTATGCTTCTGAGAAGTAAAAAGGAATGAAGTTCAACATACAAACTTATGATGAAAATCAAAAAATTATCTTTTTTCCCCTTTCCCATCGTCGAAGGTAACTATTTTATCGTATCAAACAACTTGTTTTTATCTTAAAATTGTACTTTGCAGCAGCCGATTGCAAATTCAAATATTCCACGTTAACTCTAGAACCCTTCCTAAAAAAACCCCTACCAAAGAAAAACTAAACACCATCACACTTTTTTAAAATTCTGTACATTTCTTATAATGTTCCAATAGATCGGTTAATAAGTAGAGGCAGGTCAGTGGTTAACTCCACAAACGACTCACAGTCAATTTAAGACCTCACTGGCGACATGTCACACGTGAACTCTTTTCTATGAAGGAGTACTTTCTTCCCCTGACATGTCCAAATGAAACAAAAGGACCGAATTGAATTATAAGGGTAAAACTAACACGTAACATTTTAAAATTTAACTAGAAAACCACAAAAAACAACCCATTACTTCATTCAACTTTGAAGTATCTCTTTCCCAACCGTTTTTATTTTTATAAAATTTTTATAAAACAAACTTTCATGCAGAGTGGTTGATAAATCCTGTGCACACTTGCCATAAGCAAAGAGATCTTGTCCTGAAATTGCGAAAACTTGACCAAAAAGTTGGAAGAAGTAATTCCTCGCTTCACTCGATTTTTTATCAGCTTTGCTCAAGCAGGGTTTACAATTTCTTCAAAAATTAAAAGCCTCACTGATCTCTGAAAACCGGGACCTCATAGATAAATTCGTCAAAAATTCACAGAAGAATAAATAATGCTCGTAGGGGCCGCTGCAAAGCAGTGCTTCATTACCCACTCTCAACGGTTATTCAATCCGATCTTTCCAACAGATACGAATTTGGCTACAATTACTAGGTGCTGCGCAAACTTCTTCCACTGGAGCATATATTTAGTAGGGAGATGACGCCAATATCACTGACTATTTCACAAATCAAAGTATTTCAAAGAACTTGGCAACTATGTATATAACCAAAAATTCGTCGAGTTAGAAGTTTCCAATGTCGCTGTGCCAAGGATATCCGCTTAGCCTAAACTGCACGCGTTCAGCTGAATTGTCAAAATGCTGCCAGTATTCCATACAAGCAACAGTTAATTTCAGCTTTCTCCAGGACTAATCCATTAGACAGAAAATTACCCAGCGGAATTGCCCCTCTACAGTACCCCACTGCCTAACGTTTGGCCAAGTTTGGCCAATAATGAGGCAAAAATCCTTATCTGTCCTCATTAATCAGCAGCATTCTACTCTACAGGCAAATTTTTTTCCTACGTTATATTAAGTGAAGGCACAAAACAAAAGACCACAAACAACTGCCATTAACGTTACTGCATGTCAGAGCTGGAAATAATGGAAAGAAAGTTTCAACTCCTTCACTGATAGCCTTTTGCCCTTTCGACATAAGCCGGTCAAGATACTACTTTAGTTTTTTCAAAACAGATATTAACAGTATTCATTAGGCTTTCACTTCTAGCTACCTTGGTTATTTTCGTCTTGTTTATCCTATTCAAATTCAAACTACTTCTTTCAATACCGCTTTATCTCTCTTCACTTCATTTTTTTCAGCCACCACTTTGTTTTCACTTATCCTAATCCTAATTTAGTTTTCCATCTTTACCTCGTTTTAATTAAACCAACCCTAGCTAAACCCTAGCTAACTTATGCCTTTGACTTAAACCCCTTCAAGTCCTTTTTTTGCAAAAAATTGGCTAAAAGTCTATAAATAAGTGCACCACGACCCCTTCGTGACCGCAGTTAAACCGTCATCTGATTGGCGGACGCCTAACGGGTTGATCGTTCTCTGACAAAACAACCAATTTAGTGTAGAGCACTCCAATCTTTGACACCAGAAACGTTACTGCAGTCAAGCTAGCCCGCTTGTGAGCACGTTCAATCTATCATCAATCTACAAAGTTTTTGAACAAGCCTGACTCAACTGTGGTGACTAAAACTTGTCTACGCACTTTCCGCAAGTTTTTTTTGACCACCTGATGACATAAATTCGCTGTAATCCTCATAGAGTCCCATAACACCAAGTTCTCGATAGCGAGTGATGGAATGAATAGTGACTGTATTCGATAGGTGTAATCCTGGAAATCTGGAAAGTTAAATCTATTCTCTATACAATCCTTTTACTCACGGCTCTCGCATGTCCTCAATTACCTAAAATCCCTACTGATTCGCAGCATTTCAGCTGTCTAAATGAAGGTTATTGATCTAATATATAAGGTGGCTAGAATTTTTGAACAACAATTT